TACCATAAACATTTTATAATGAACGTAATGGCCTGTAGTTCAGGAAACGATATATATTTTTGAAGAAACTCCTTCGACAATTAAACACACTTATTTAGATTGCAAAAAAGTTTTTTTATTTACCATATTAAATAACGCTTGTACTTGCTACAATACGCCTACGATGACCCTTGCTTTCATTGCTTACTCTCACATGGGCCTGTAGTCTCGGAAGAACATATTTCGAAAGATTTCCGAATTTGATAAGTAATCATCAAATTTAGTTGCCAAGAAAATGTTTGCTTTCATGTGACGAGGAATTTAACAAATTGCAAAACGCATGTATTTGCCACAATAATCCTATACGATTATTCTCGATTTCTTTTAGATGAGCCTTCGTGCCAAGATCGTTAAATTTTTGCAAGAGGTCGTAATATCGGAATTGCAAAACTTGTGGAATTGTTTTCATGTAGCAATTCAGGGTACTTGCTGTTATATGGCCTTCGCTAAATCCCTTATTGTTCGGTTACTTTGACATGGGCCCTTTGTGCTTGAATATGTATGATTTTGTAAGGTTTCGAAGTATTTGAATTGCAGAGGTGTTTTGTTTCCACGTAGCCAGCAATTCAATAGTTTAATAATTCAGGTACTTGGTATCATCGGCCGTCGAAAACTCTGCTTTTGATGTTAGCTCTTACTTGGGCCTATCGTACAGGGAACATTTTACATTTTCGAAAACTTCCGAATTTGACAAGTAATCGCCTAATTTAATTGGCAAAAAAAGTGTTTGTTTTTATGCAACGAGGAATTTATCATATCAAAAGCGCATGTACTTTCTACAATAGGCATTTACGATAACTCTCGATTTACTTGGCAACCTTTAGATGGGCCTTCTGCCAAGATCGCTTTATTTTTAAAAGACTTCGATATTTTTTATTTGCAAAAGTGTTACGTTTTCATGTAGCTAGCAATCCAATTAATTTAATAGTTCAGGTACTTGCTATCATTGGCCTTCGATAATCTTTGCTTTTATTGCTAACCTTTACGCGGGCTTGTAGTCTCAGGAAACATCTTATATTTTAAAAGGTTTCCGAATTTGACACATAATCACCGAATTTAGTTGGCAAAAAAGTGTTTGTTTTTATGCAACGAGGAATTTAACATATTAAAAGCGCATGTACTTGGTACAATAGGCCTGCCTATAAGATAATTCTTGCTTTTTTAGGAACTTCAAGATGGGCTCTCGTGCCAATGTCGGTATATTTCCGAAAGACTCCGGACTGTTTAAATTTCATATATGTTGTGTAATTCAAATAATTTAATAGTTCAGGTACTTGCTATTAAAGGCCTTCGATAAATCCCACATTGTTCGGTTACTTTGACATGGGCCTCTCGTGCTTGAGTATATATATTTTTATAAAACTCCGAAATATTTGAATTGCAAAAATGTTGTGTTTTCAAGTAGCGAGCAATCCAATCAATTATTATAATAGTTCAGGTACTTGCTATCATCGGCCTTCAAAAACTACGCTTTTATTGCTATCTCTTACTTGGTCCTGTAGTCTCAGGAAACAATAATATATTTCGAAAACTTCCAAATTTGACAAGTAATCACCATATTTAGTCGGTAAAAGGTGTTTTTTTATGCAAAGTGCAATTTAACATATTGCATAGCGTATGTACTTACTGCAGTAGACTTTCGGCTAATCCCGATTTTTGGCGATTTCAATTTAGCTTCATTTTCGTAAGACAGGAATATTTTAATTCCAAAAGTGTTTTGTTTTTATGCAGTAATTCAATCAATTAAAAGTTCTGGTACTTGGTATTTAACTTGTTAAATTTTCGATAGATTACCAAGTCTGACAGGTAATCATTTAATTTGAATTGCAAATAAGTGTTTATTTTTATGTAACTTGAAAATTAACATATAAAATAACGCATGTACTTGCTACAATAAGCATACGATAATTCTTGCTCACTTTGGTAACTTTGACATGGCTTCCGATAATTTGTGCTTTGATTGCTAGATTTCACATGGGCCTCTCGTTTCAGGAAAATATTATATTTTCGAAAGATTTTCAAATTTGACAAGCAATATCCAAATTCGGATTGCATAACTGTTTATTTATATAAAGTACTCGAGTTGTTTTTATTACCTTATATAGAAAACGAAATTGCAAACAGGAAGCAATATTTTGATTAATTGCTCTTGTTGTTTTTCCCTTTTTCAATAATTTTTATATAATTTGTCCAAAACAAGTCTCTTAGCAAAAAAAAAAATTGGGGGGGGAAGTTTTTTTTTCTTCTGTAAATTGACGTAATACGACGCTTACTCATGTCTTTTGCAATGCAACCTGTGGCCCGTGGGTTAAATGCGGTCCACAAGAAAAAAATGTGCGGCCCGCGGCGGAGTACCAATTTGTAATGGTTTAATTTAGTTTAATTTGTAATTCCAAACCCTTTGCCTTGCAAAGCCCAATTTATTATCTGAGCCCGTGACGTTACAATGCCCTAACACAGGGGTGTCAAACATGCGGCCCGCGGGCTGCATGTGGCCCCAGAGCACTTCAAATGCGGCCCTCGAACGCCTAACAATATTTCAGATTGCTTGACTTGCTTCAGATTGACAGATAGCTTGCGCGAAGCGTACAAGGCATGTCATAATATCAATATCCCCTTTTTTTGCCTGCAACTACAAAGCATATGTTAAATAACGGTGCGGTCCGCTCTTTCAACCAGTTATCTATATCTGGCCTTCCTGTCTTAAATGTTGCACACCCCTGTTTTAGACAATCTGACAATGTATTGCTAATGAATTTTTCATTGCAGATACATAATGCTTGACTATGTAAAAGAAAAATTTCCGCAGGAAAAATAGAAAAAGAAACTTACAAAGTTGTATCGTAAGGGCGACATTTCACAGTCTTCGCGCTTTTTCTCCATATAGTTTTACACCAGTGTATTTTACCCTTTTCAAGCACTTTTTGACTTTGTAGCAAAACTCGTGGCACTCGCTTATTGAAGAAAAAAAAACGAAATCAGCAAATTTTCATTTTGACATCTGGCTTTGGCTCTTCAGTGTCTGGCGGAGTAGTATCCAACGCCAAGTCTAATTCTTGCCTTATATTTGATACTTTCTTGTTTTTACTTTGGATTTATTTAACCTCAAAAACGAAGCAATCCACTCTTGGAGTCTAATTTACAACAGTTTAAGAAATGCTTTGTTAGACGATCTGGCAATGTATTTTGCCAATGAATCATTTTCAAAGAGGATACATAAGGATTGACATTGTGACAGGAAAGTTCTCCACTGGAATATTAAAAGATAAACTTGTAAAGTGATATCGTAAGGGCGAGCGACATTGAGTGCTTTTCTTACTTTCACCCAATATGGTATGATTCTAGATTATTCTTTGCGCCAAAGGTATATGAACCTTGGGCCAATTGTGACATCTAGCGGCTGTATTATTGACACAAAATTTATGTATAATGACGCAATACGACGCTTACCCGTGCCTTTTCCCCCAAACTAGTACAGATAAAAGCTCCCACTAATATCTAACAATATCTTAAATAATCTTTCTGCAGGATTATTTCGCTGTAGAAGTTAACCAGGTATATAAGCGTCCTATTTTTGTCTATCCTGGATAGCTTATTACGAGAAATAACTATTGACAACAAGGAAACGTCCGATTATTCAGTATACCGATCAAGAATTGAGCAAAATAATGTTGCAAAGGGGGTCAGAATTTAGGTATCAATGCGAATGCCGCAAAAGAGGTTCATGGCAATAACAAAGAAAATCCGGCGCTGTCGAAGTATTGGCGCACTTCCTAAACCCTAACCTGGTTCAATACTACGTTTAGGTTGTGCGCCATCTTGGTGCACATACTTCGGGAGCCCCGAAATCCATATATGACGGAATCAATGTTTATTATATACACAAATCACACGGGACGAAAAAGCTATGAATTTTATTTTTCTTCTAATCAACATTGCAATAAACATCAAATTAAAACGTGGATTACACGGTTCATAATAGTAAAGTAAATAATGTAAGCAAGCAATAATTCGGTTATTGTCATTTATAACATCAAATCTATTAATTCTGTCTAGGGCTGGGCATTTCGAATCAAATAGTGAATTAATCGCATCGGTTCATACAAAACTTTCTAATTGCCGCCATCTTTTTTCTGTCCGCCATAGGCCGAGGTGAAAATTCCCAATTTTTTTTTACCAAAGCCATATTTTCAATTTGCATCCTGACATGTGTTTTTTTGGTACCAAGATAGTAGTGAGCCAATTATGTGAACCAAGATGATAAACACCGGGACGTAGTATGTGTACCGGGTTAGGGTTTGGCCCTAATTTCAGGTTCAAATAACACGAGAATCACTTGGATGGTCCCCGAACTCGTAATAAAACTAAAAAAAGGGAAAATTGGAATAAAATTTTGACCTAACTCTAACCTGGTACACATACTATGTTCCGGTGTCCACCATCTTGGTTCACATACTACAGGAACACCGTTTTTTTTCGTCCCAGTGATTTATTAATAAAACATGTTTTATTGTGTGTGGCCGCTTAGCAAACTGTATGAGTGGCGGATTCTATGTTTTCTGTGATTCATTTGTTAAGACGACACATTACAATAAAAAATGACCTACAATTCCATATCCCCTAAGTCAGGGGTTGGCAACCTTTTGTCGCTTGCGGGCCAAAATTAAGGTTGCAAGTCATTGGCGGGTCGCACATATATTTAGAAAGTTGAAAAACCGAACGGATGGTACTTTTTATAATAAAAATCAAGCAGTGGTACATTTCTCGAATAGAATATAATTCTATTTCTCCATTGCATCTCATAAAATTCCATTTGAATATTTTCAGCGCCATTGAACCTTTTGCACTTAGCATCAATTTTTCTGCGTTTTGTTGCCACTTGCTTAATTATAATTAAATTATATGCTCATTAAACGAGTAATTGTGAATTATATAATTGTTAGGTTATAATATAATTTAGTCTAAAGAATATATTCGTCAAAACGAATGTTTTGTTACTATAATTTAGCGAAACGTCGCGGGCCGGATTATAGTAGGTTTCCGACCCCTGCCCTAAGTGTTCCAAATTCGATTTGAAAAAAAAGATTCGATTTGGAAATCATCAGGTATTCGAAATTGCCCAGCCCTATTAATGAGTTTAACTCTCTGTCTGCTGTGCCATAGCCACGGATGGGGAACTGGTTGGAAATCACTAAGGCTTCAGAACCAGAGCTACAGTATATTTAGCCCGTGGCCCTGGAGCCATATCATAGGCGTATACGTATTTGAGTATACATAAGCATTTGAGTGCTTACTACTTCACACCGAAGTGAGATGTCTTTCCAAGGGAAGAGGTATTCGAAAATGGGTGCTTTCTTAGTATGTACACCAAGATGTCACACAACCTGATAACCCAAACCTGGTACACATACTATGTTCAGGTTGTGCGTCATCTTAGTGAACATACTACAGGAGCACTCGAAAATGTCCAACCCAAGTTCTGTCAAGTTTTGAGTTGATTTTATATTTCACAAATCACACCATACTGTGGTATTGTTGGTGGATCATTGAATATTCCTTCTGAATCCATCCCTGGATAGACATAAAGAGCAACGTTCGTGTACGATGCAGCGGAATTATATTTCTTCGGAAAATTCGGAAGCCACGCCTCTGTTAATGTGATCGCTTCTCCATTGGACAGCAATAGCTGCTCGTTCTGTAACAAATAAATAAAGTGTTGTCTGAAACGTTAATGAATCTGATATATTAAATAAAAAATGAAAATATTACTTATTTGAGAATAGCTTTCTTGTTTTTCACCTATGCCTATGTATGCGAAATATACTTTTTTCTCGGAAATAAATTACACATGAATGAAACGTTTTGTACCCAAAGTATAGTAGGTAACGATTAATGAATTTGATAGAGAGGAAATTACTGAAAAAAAAATCTAAAACAATTGTAAATTAAAAAAGAATCGACAAGACAGCTCGGCAACGACATCACAATATATTAAAATTGTGATTATATTCTATAGTTCTAGTTACCTATTCATCCACTTTTTTAAGCCTATGAAGATGTTTTTTTAACCCATTTGTATAGTTATTTCCCATTTTTTAAGTCGTTTACTATATGCCCTAATAATCACGACTCTTCTAAAACATAGGCTTACTTTTTATTCCGCGAGATGACGCTGAAGAGGCCTTACTTAATCAATGTTTTTGGTATGTAAGCCAACATCCAAAATTTAATAAATTCTTTTGTTGTTTGCGCATTTATTACCGAGTAATAAATCATAAGTCATCTTTAACTTGTTCACCTTCAGTTATTTTGTATAAAACTGGGACCTGGTGAAGTTTGCAAAATCAAATCAAACTTTGTGTCAAATTTCACTTTGTTTAGGTGAGTTTGCTCGATAACCATTATCGCATCTCCCTTCACACTGAAATACATTTTTTTATCTATTCTAACTTTGTATGTACAATGTGTATATTCGTCATGTGTTAAATTGAAGGTACTCTCGAAGTATGTGAACAAAGATGGCGGACACCGGAACCGTAGTATGTGTACCAGGTTAGGATTAAGCCATAATTTCAAGTACAAATGCTACGGGAGTCACTTGGCAAGTCCCGAAAGCGTAATAGAACTAAAATACGGAAAATTGGAATAAAATAATGGCCTAACTCTAATCTGGTACACATACTACGTTCCGGTGTCCGCCATTTTGGTTCACATACTTCGGGAGTACCTTCTCGTCATGTATAAAACTGATTGACTGTCCTATCAAACTGACCTTAAACTCCATTCCAGTCCAAATTTGAATCCATTCCTGACCAGCAGGGATCAGTAAACGTAGATGAGGGAACAACAGCTGGAGATGCGCGAGGTCGTAAATATTCGCGAGTTTTCCGTTTATTGATTTGCAAATGGGTTCGGCATTGTTGAACGTGACGTTGGCTGTAGCATACACAACTGTTCGGAAACATTTTGAATTGTATGTAGCGTCACATTTTCCTAAAACTGAAAATTGAATCTAGATTCAAACATTATTCAAACTTGCTTCTAATGCAGTGTTTATCAAAATTGTTAGGCAGCGCCTCTTTCTCAGAATTTGTCAAGCGTCCACCTCAAAAATAACTAACTACTAATAATATACAAATAACAGATAGTAAGGCAAAAGTATGTTTTATTTAAAAAAAACACGCTGAAAATGCGTGCAATCTCTAAGCAGTAAAGAAATATCAAAATTAAGGCGAGCAAGATCAAATGTAACAAATATTCTTATACTAACTTCACGTCCCCTCAAAAAAATGTCTACGACCAGCCGTTCGAGAACCACCGTAATGCTCTGATAGTTGTGACAGATTTCATAGTCAAATTATCAAATCAGAAAACAAAAAAGAATTACTTTGAGCTTGTTTCTTCTCATCAAGACTCTTTTGGATCAATCTTGCGATTTCTGTAAGAAAATTTATTTATTTTGTTGTGTGTAGAGTGAAGCGTTTCAAACAATAATCATATTACAATGTCCAAATTTTTTTGTTACGTTGGCGAACTGAAATAACTTTGCCCGCCACGATGAGACATCACATAAAAACCAAATACTGGTAATAGATCGCAAAGATCGTCTTAAATAACTTTGCCAAACTTTGTTTTCTTCAGCTAAACATTAACCAGTTGAAACTAGTTCAGAAAATTGTAGACCATTGTTAATTTATGAATCAAAATTTTGTTATTTGTTTACGTTCACTGAAGTTTTTTTCAAACGTGAAATAATATATCAACGAGTGGAACTCACCGGATCCATCGTCTTTCTGTGAAATAAATATAAAAAGCAAATATTTAGTCAAGTAATTATAACACGTAAGTGTATTAGTAAATTATTTTTCCACCAATGCTGAAAATACGTAATATACGATGTAGAATATAGTAAGAACAAGAGAGCCATGCTCAAATATATGGACACGTAGCGCCACCCAATGGCAATAATTTTGATGACGTCATAGCGAAAAAAAAGTAATAGCCTTCTGGAGAAAAGTTTTATCTTTAACCACTGAAAATTTCAAAGCAATTGGTCCAGTATTCGAAGAGAAAAGCGATTTTTTAAAAATGGAGACGGAGACAAATAACAATAACAATAACAACAAAATTTTGAAACGATCGTTATGTCCACTTCGTGTCCAATAAGAATATCAGGGTGGAAGGTGAAGCCAAATAACCAGTACTGATTATCGAGCAGCGACACCCTAGACGGGGTCTTACACAGCACGAAAAAATAAATAAAGTAGGAAGCTCAAATTAAATATGAATACAGAAACAAAATAGTCACACTAATATATTTATATATTAGAAACATATCTAGAGGATGTCTCGGAAATCTAGAGACGCTCGTTAATGTAAAAGGAAGACTTCGAGTACCATCAAGCGAGGTAAGCACGACAACTGCTCAGCTGAGTCACTGGCAGCAGATTACTTTACAGTTATATGCCACAGAGACACGTTTGAGTTTTCCAGGATGCGTAAAGTAAAATTTGTGAAGTGCACGTGCGAGAAGAATGTATTAGGTTTATTTGTTGCGTGACATACGGAAGTCAGATTTAAAATTGGTTTGGGAATTCAGAAAAACGAAGATTCGCGTCCTTGCAAAGATAGTAACTATAAAAGTATAAGCGGCTGCTTTTCTAAAGCCTTCTTACGAGTCAAAATGTGGAAACACCTGATAAAACTAGCAACTTCATTTTACCTTGCAATCTCCAACTTGGATGAGTTTCCCATCTACGATTTTGGAAACGCAGGTTCCAGCTGTCAAAAATAAAACGTGATATCTTCACGTGATAAGTTCGTGCATATGAAACAGATATCTGGCTAACTAATCCCATACCCGACATAGACTGGTAACCGGACAAGAGAACGTAGTTCACCATATGATCAAGCCGTCTGATCGACTTTCTGCGTCCCCGGAATAAATATGTAACTCTTTTCCTATCTTACCCGACATGGACTATAATTTATAGTTATAACAATAAAATATTTTTTTGTCTTTGTCTATTAATAGGATAGGATAGGATTTACATAGTTCTCATTGTAAAATTTTGATTGTTATCATCATAAAATCGGGCGAAATTTTCAGGCAATTCCTGTATATCTAGTAATTGTGTCCTAAAAAAATCTTGCCTGGTAACTTTAGCCCTGCAAGCGAGCCACGGATGAGAGAGATGAATAAAAGTATTTTGACGAAGTCCATGTTTGCTTCTAGAATGGTTTGATGACGCAACAAAATGCTTAGCTATAAGGTAATATCTGCGAAAACATTCAAATATGTTAACTTATTAGCTTTAAGCAACTATTAGTTGATTTCGGGATGATGTTTGTTTTACAATTACACTTTTGTGGGGTATCTATGATATATTTCGCAAACTGACTTGGCTAATGTTGTAACTGTACCAAGAAGCAATAACAGCATTAATAAAATTTGACAACAGCAGCGTCGAAATGTGGCAACGAGGCGGTGATTCAGATATGGCATTATCTATAAGTTTCATTACTTTGAATTTACTCGGGAACATCGAACGGTGGAAAACAATGTGTTTTTATTTTCATAAATTTATTTTGAGGCTCCGTAAATAATAGTCAACCTCTTCATGGGCTCCATAACACCAAATGTTTGAGAACCCTTGAACAATTTTATAATACAGACTCAAAGCAGATGTGCAACATCCATTAAAATCATTAAATATTAAAAAATGCAACTAATAACTCGAAAAAAAAAACTCGAAGTCTAGAATATATATACAGAGCATAAACAAGTAACGCAGAATTAACAGAAGTTAAGATGGAATGCTACTCGAAACATTTAACGACTGACATCTTTTAACAGTATTGAATTACGGGGAAATGCCATTCGAACATTTCACGACAGACGTTATTCAACAGTTACTTTTTTAACGTTGCCATGAAAAATGCAACTAATAACTCGAAAAAAATTAAATTATTGCGTAAACAACAAATGACCACAAATCCACGTGGGGGATCATAACGTGCGAAAAAATTGCCGAAATCTTCGCCGCCGAAGAGTGGTTTACATAACCGCTGGTCGGCTACGACTTCCCCCACCACCAAGTCCATGCATTTGAAACAAATAACTGGCTAACTGATCCCATACCCGATATGGACTGGAAACCGGACAAGAGGCTGTGATCTGCCATATGATAAAGTCGTCTTATTGGCTTTCCTCTCCCCCGAGATAAATATGTAAATTCTCTCCTATCGTTGTACGACACCGATTTCACCCAGATTCAAAACAACCTTCTAAAAACATGTCGACAGGCGCTTGCGAAATCTGCGACTGACAATGGCAAGTTATCGGGACTTTGTGTGCTATATCTAAAACATAAAATATTAAATAAAAACGCAAGTATGATACCATGCAACATCATATTCGCTTGTTATATTTGTGCAGTGGAAAGCAGTTCATATACCGGTGTTGTGTTTTGTGAAACGTCATTTCCCGTACTATATGTAAAACAAACTAAAATAGAATATTTTCGATGCACCCTATTACTCGATTACTCACTTTTTGATGTTTTTAATATAATATAGGAGGTATGAAAACTAAAACAAAATATTAAAAATACTCCCGTATGATATCACGCGGCATCCTATACATTCAATAATTTTATGTGTACAGTTGAAGGCAGTTCATATTCCCGCGCGGTGTTTTGTTCCACGTCACTTTCTGTGCTATATATAAAACAAACTAAAACAGAATATTCACATTGCACCCGATTACTCGATTACTTACTTAGGAGGTATGAGAAGCGAGCGGATGACGTCACTTAGTATAGGTTTGTATAGTTTCGTATAAATAATAACAGGCCGGTTCGCATTAGGATATTTTATTATCGGGAAAAATTATTATCGTGATTTCGCACATATTCTTCCGTTATTTCACCATCATTATCTCACTATTTACTGGGCTGTATTGTTTGTTCGCATGAAGGCGACTCTCCCGCGAGATGGCCTACGTTTCAGAACATGGCAGACGGATATGCGGTTAGTAAGGCTTGACATTTTCTAATACCTGATGATTTCGGAATCAAATCGAATATTTTGGGAGATATAGAATAGTATGCGACTTTTTTTTATTGTAATTGGTCCTGTCAACAAATGAAATACTGAAAACATAGAATACATTAGACAGATTTCAGAGAGTTAACACACAAACATACGTTTTATCAATTCCTTATTGAAGAAAGTCTGGATTGCGATGAAAAAAAAATATTTATATATATATATATTGTTATAATGTTTCTCTGTTTACTGAATTATTTGAAGTCTAGAATATATATACAGGGCATAAAAAAGTAACACAAAATTAACAGAAGATAAGATGAAATGCTACTCAAAACATTTAACGACTGACATCTTTGAACAGTATTGAATTACGGGGAAATGCCATTCGAACATTTCACGACATTCGTTATTTAACAGTTACTTTTTTATCGTTGCCATGACGAAAAATTTTACCACATTGTAAATTGTATTGTATCACAGTAAACACATTGGAATTAAAAAGTTCTATCGACCAAAATGTCCTACAACCTACAATGACTTTAGTAAACACATTGGAATTAAAAAGTTCTATCGACCAAAATGTCCTACAACCTACAATGAATTTAGTAAACACATTGGAATTAAAAAGTTCTAACGACCAAAATGTCTTACAACCTGCATTGACTCTATTAAACACATTGGAATTAAAAAGTACTAACGACCAAAATGTCTTACAGCCTGCAATGAATTTAGTAAATACATTGGAATCAAAAGTCTAACAACCAAAATGTCTTACAACCTGCATTTACTCGAGTGAACACATTGGAATTAAAAAGTACTAACGACCGAAATGTCTTACAGCCTGCATTTACTCGAGTGAACACATTGGAATTAAAAAGTACTAACGACCAAAATGTCTTACAGCCTGCAATGAATTTAGTAAACACATTGGAATTAAAAAGTTCTAACGACCAAAATGTCTTACAGCCTGCATTTACTCGAGTGAACACATTGGAATTAAAAAGTACTAACGACCAAAATGTCTTACAGCCTGCAATGAATTTAGTAAACACATTGGAATTAAAAAGTTCTAACGACCAAAATGTCTTACAACCTGCATTTACTCGAGTGAACACATTGGAATTAAAAAGTACTAACGACCAAAATGTCTTACAGCCTGCAATGAATTTAGTAAACACATTGGAATTAAAAAGTTCTAACGACCAAAATGTCTTACAACCTGCATTGACTCTAGTAAACACATTGGAATTAAAAAGTACTAACAACCAAAATGTCTTACAACCTGCAATGACTTTAGTAAACACATTGGATTTAAAAAATACTAACGACCAAAATGTCTTACAACCTGCAATGACTCTAGTAAACACATTGGATTTAAAAAATACTAACGACCAAAATGTCTTACAACCTGCAATGACTCTAGTAAACACATTGGAATTAAAAAGTACTAACGACCAAAATGTCTTACAACCTGCATTGACTCTAGTAAACACATTGGAATTAAAAAGTACTAACGACCAAAATGTCTTACAACCTGCAATGACTCTAGTAAACACATTGGAATTAAAAAGTACTAACGACCAAAATGTCTTACAACCTGCATTGACTCTAGTAAACACATTGGAATTAAAAAGTACTAAAGACCAAAATGTCTTACAACCTGCATTGACTCTAGTAAACACATTGGAATTAAAAGGTACTAACGACCAAAATGTCTTACAACCTGCAATGAATTTAGTAAACACATTGGAATTAAAAAGTACTAACGACCAAAATGTCTTACAACCTGCAATGAATTTAGTAAACACATTGGAATTAAAAAGTACTAACGACCAAAATGTCTTACAGCCTGCAATGAATTCAGTAAACACACTGGAATCAAAAGTACTAACAACCAAAATGTCTTACAGCCTGCATTTACTCTAGTAAACATATTGGAATTAAAAAGTACTAACGACCAAAATGTCTTACAGCCTGCAATGAATTCAGTAAACACACTGGAATCAAAAGTACTGACAACCAAAATGTCTTACAACCTGCATATACTCTAGTGAACACATTGGAATTAAAAAGTACTAACGACCGAAATGTCTTACAGCCTGTTACAACTTCAGTGAAAAACATTGGAATTAAAAGGTACTAACGACCGAAATGTCTTACAGCCTGTTACAACTTCAGTGAAAAACATTGGAATTAAAAAGTACTAACGACCAAAATGTCTTACAACCTGCATTGACTCCGGTAAACACATTGGAATTAAAAAGTACTAACGACCAAAATGTCTTACAACCTGCATTGACTCTGGTAAACACATTGGAATTAAAAAGTACTAACGACCAAAATGTCTTACAACCTGCATTGACTCTGGTAAACACATTGGAATTAAAAAGTACTAACGACCAAAATGTCTTACAACCTGCATTGACTCTATTAAACACATTGGAATTAAAAAGTACTAACGACCGAAATGTCTTACAACCTGCATTGACTCTGGTAAACACATTGGAATTAAAAAGTACTAACGACCGAAATGTCTTACAACCTGCATTGACTCTGGTAAACACATTGGAATTAAAAAGTACTAACGACCAAAATGTCTTACAACCTGCATTGACTCTGATAAACACATTGGAATTAAAAAATACTAACGACCGAAATGTCTTACAGCCTGTTATATCTTCAGTGAACACATTGGAATTAAAAAATACTAACAACCAAAATGTCTTACAGCCTGCAATGACTTTGGTAAACACATTGAAACTAAAAAGTTCTAACGATCAAAATGTCTTACAACCTGCAATGAATTCAAAGTACTGACAACCAAAATGTCTTACAACCTGCATTTACTCTAAGTGAACACATTGGAATTAAAAAGTACTAACGACCAAAATGTCTTACAACCTGCATTGACTCTGGTAAACACATTGGAATTAAAAAGTACTAACGACCGAAATGTCTTACAACCTGCATTGACTCTGGTAAACACATTGGAATTAAAAAGTACTAACGACCAAAATGTCTTACAACCTGCATTGACTCTGGTAAACACATTGGAATTAAAAAGTACTAACGACCAAAATGTCTTACAACCTGCATTGACTCTATTAAACACATTGGAATTAAAAAGTACTAACGACCAAAATGTCTTACAACCTGCATTGACTCTGGTAAACACATTGGAATTAAAAAGTACTAACGACCAAAATGTCTTACAACCTGCATTGACT